CCAACGTGTGGTGTCCGCAAGGGGGTGAAGCCCTCAGTTGCCTTAGTTAGGGATGTCCATAGAAACATCCAGCACTTGCTCACAATTCCGTGTAGGAATATCAAAGTGTCCTGGGAAGGTGTAGGGAGAGCTGTGGACTGCCAGCTGTGAGACTGTGGACTCGATGATCTTTGAGGTCTCTTCCAACCCGGTTGATTCTATGAGTAAGGGAGGAATCTGTGCCAAAATCCTGTTTGCAACGTCCTGCTGCTCTCGAGATGCTGTGGATGTGCCAGAGCACACAGGGGGCATTCAGATCACCAGTGGTACCAAGGCCTCCTTGTGTTAGGATTGGGTCCTGGTTTCATTTAGTTGTTGTGATAGAGTTCATAGAATCATAGAAAATTCTGAGTTGGAAAGGACCCACAACGGTCAGCAAGTCTAACTTTTGGCCCTGCACAGGACAGCCCAACAATCCACCACGTGCCTGAGAGCATTGTCCAAGCACTCCTTGAACTCTGTCAGGCTTGGTGCTGTGAGCACTGCCTTGGGGAGCTGTTCCAGTGCCCAAACACTCTCTAGGGGAAGAACCTTTCCCTAATATCCAACCTACCCCTCCCCGACACAGCTCCATGCCATTCCCTTGGGTCCTGTCACTGGTCACAGAGAACAGAGATCAGGAGCTGCCCTTCTGCTTTCCTTTGTGAGGAAGCTGCAGCACATGGTAAGATGTGCCCTCAGTCTCCTCTTAGTTAAATTTAACAGATATGTCCAACTCCAGGCAAAGTTTCTTCACCTGTTTGACTTCCGATAACACTCCTGTTACTGACAGGTGGTGGAGAAGGTGAATTCTAGGTGTCTCATCCAAAAATCATTCCTATTTTCTGTGGATGGCATAAGCACACAGACATTGTCACCCCTGGCAGGTGCTGTTAGCTGCTTCATGAATTTAAATGGCATTTAAGATACAGAACTTTCAGAACTAAAGAAGCAATTAGTAACTTTAGATTCATGCTTTAACAGATGGCTAGATTAAATCTGATCAATGTTATTTTGAGCAGATAAGGATTTTGATGGAAAAGAGTGAAGGGAAAAAAATCAATGCATGCAAAATAGCCAACTAGATTAAAAGAGTAATTAACTTATTGATTAAACCTTTAGTAGTGGATAGTGAACACCTCTCTGAATCCTCTGTTGGCCCTGAAAAAAGTATCAGAGTAACACACATGTGATTTGTTTTCAGGCAGAGTTAAAAATCTGTGCAGCTGTTTCTTGTGTGCTGCTCTATTTTGGGCAGACTTCAAACTATGTTTTCTGTTTTGAGTATCAGTGCATCTAAATAGTGTCTCATAATGGATCAATACTAACTACTGATATTTTATTTTCTATATTTAATTAGTTTTTCTATTTATTTCAGTCTCCTCCTCCTGTTTTTGCCAAGTAAATCTTCTCTACAATCAGCCATGTCATGAGCTAACTTAAAGAAACTCCCCAGTCATCTAGAAGCAGATGATTGAAAAGACTGAGCTCTAAATGAACCAATATTTTTAGGGTTTTGTTTCATTAATTGCTTTGGATACAAACCTTCTGTTTTACCTTATGACTTGGAAAACATCTTTATTTAACATGATTTTGAGTCCCTGAAGGCAGACTACAAGGCCTATTTATAAGGGGGGATAAGGGGGAGTGGCTTCAAATGGAAAGAGAGTTTAGATAGGATATTAGGAAAAAATTCTTTACTCTGAAGGTGATGAGACACTGGCACAGGTTGCCCAGAGAAGCTGTGGATGCCCCTGGAAGTGTTCAAGGCCAGGTTGGCTGGGGCTTGGAGCAACCTGGTCTGTGGAAAGTGTCCCTGCCCATTGCAGGGGTTGGAACCAGATGGTCTTTAAGGTCCCTTCCAACCCAAAACATTCTGTGATTCAATGTTTTTTGTTTTTTCTATAAGCTTTTATCAGCAAAAGAAAATAAAGTGGCTTTACTTTAGGCTTTGTTCAACAAAGAAAATGGGGGAGGAACAGTCTAAATGAAGAAGTTTGCTGGAAACATATGAATGTGCTTTCTAGAGCTGCTTAGCGGGGGGAGCAGAATTGTCTCTGTCTTTTTCTGATCTTATCACTCCCAGAAGTGTTGATCACTTGGTGCTGTGTCATCTGGATGAGTGACATCCACTGTCTTGCTCTTCTGTGTAATGGGGAAGTGCTACATTGCTTTGCTTTCACTACTCAAAATACTGAGATTGTTTTGAAGACACCTTAAAAATTGTGTAAAAACTGTAATATCTATTGCTTTCTTTTGTTGAAACCTCCTTGTTACAGCTATAGAAGCTATTGAGGTCTGAGTAAGGCTGTCAGTTTATACACTGAGCTCAGGAAGGACATGGTCAGCAGAGCTTTGGGTTAACCATGCCTCAGTTACTCACATAAACACCACAGCTTCACCCCTGAGAATATTAATGCACTTTTTTGTCTTGAAGGCTGGTGGAGTTGCTGGTGTCTGTGTGGACTTGATCCTTTTTCCCCTGGATACTGTAAAAACAAGACTGCAGAGTCCTCAAGGATTCAGGAAGGCTGGTGGCTTCCGTGGCATCTATGCTGGTGTTCCTTCCACTGCTATAGGATCCTTTCCAAATGGTAAATTTTCTTTGTCTTCTTTCAGTGGGAACTTATGTCATGTAGGACATTGATGTCTGTGGCTTCCTCTCCTGCAGCTGACTGTTTGGGTTCTGTGAGTCCCTGTCTAGCTGTGAAGAAGTTTCTAGAATTGTATTGAAAAAACTTGAGCAAGCCTGGAGTGAAGGCTGTTGCATGTTTACTCTGAAAAGCAACCCTAATTCCTTGGCAGGGTACCTGGATATAAGCCTGTCCTTACTTACAGGTGCCAAAGAGGGATTGAGTCTTGCTTGGCCTGGATAATTTTGTTGTGCACCACTCCTTCATGGCATGGGAAATGAATCAAATTTCTAAGTGGTCAAGTACTGGAGGTGTGTGAGCCAATTACCCTGGGCAGGCTCTGCCCATCTCCCTGGAAACAACAACACTTCTGTTGTGAAGACATTAAGAATACTTTTGAAACTGAGGCTTTAAAAAGAGTAAACTCTTGTGGTCCCTGCAGAGAAAAAGCATCTGAAATTCCTGATGCTTTTGTCCATTTTGTCTTTGTAGGGAGGGATGACAAAACAGCAAACTATGCTGTTGGGAGTAAATGGTAGGAGAACTTTGCTGACAAATCCACTGACACCTTCAGATGTTTGATGTCCTTCATAAGGTGATATAAAAAAATGCAGTTCTTTATCTTGGCTGCTCTGTTATCTCCTTTTGAGGTGATAAGCATCTTTTGATTAGCAGAAGGCAATTCACATGGCCCTTCTTTACAATTAAAATCTGTTTCCCCGCAAGACATGTCATTTTTTTCAGGATTTACATCTCCAAAATCTGAACTGTGGTTTTATCTTTCCAACATGTGACTGAGAACTGAAATTATCTTTAGGAGAAGGAATAACCCTTAAGGTGTAAGTGCCTTTGTAGTTGACAGTGTTGTTGGCAGTGAATAAACACAGCAAATGTTGCTGTGCTCAGTTTCGTTTTGTATATTTCTTGTTCATTGCACAGAACTTTCACCAGTTCTTTCGAAGCTTTGAAAAAATTTGGTGGCACTGAATTGCAAAATATTAAACTGATGATAGCAGGGAAGAAGTTATTAATAAACTTATTGAAATAGTTTTGCACATTGTAGTTGTATCAAGTATTTTGATGACTTTGGGGGTTGTTTGGTTGTTTTCAGTTAATCAATTGTTTTGTTTGTTGTTTCCCCTCAAAAAGAGACCAAACATTCAATTCAACCAAAAGACCTTCTCTCTACTCTATGAATGGATGTGAAAGATACTGTTTTTCAAAACGTGCTGGACATTCATGGCTAATTAACAAATCTTCCATTAGCTCAGGACTAAACGTGTCCTTAAGTCCTGACACCTTTGATATTAATGAGAGGTTTGCCAAGGATAACCAGGAGCATAATCTTCTGCAGGAATTATCCCAGTGATTGTGTTGATACTCTTGTACTGTTTTGGTGTAGAAATATCCTGGTTTTGACTACAGTTGCAGAATAACAGGTGTCAAAATCCACCTCTGAATGGGTTTTGTGTGAATTCTGTGATGGAGGAATAGTGAAATGATTCCATCTATTCTTGAATTTCAGCTGCTGCTTTTTTTATCACCTATGAGAATGTGAAATCTGTGCTGCACCATGAATCTTCATCTTACTTGTCTCCAGCAACACACATGGTGGCTGCCTCCCTCGGAGAAGTGGTAAGAAAAAGTTCATATATTGTGTGTCTGTGGGAGGAGAGGAAACCATTCAATCATGCAAATTCAGATTTTGTGTCGTATCTTAACCTTTCTGAGTGCTGACCATACTTGTGACAGTTCTTGCAAAACATTACTAGTTTTTTAATGAAGTTCTGGCACTTGTGAGGATACTTTCAAAGGGAATAAATGATTTAATAACGGTTCTTTGAGGGCCTATTGGCTGATCTTGCTAAATCAGTAGATCGTGGAAGTGTGGGTTGTTCAAAAACATGAATAAATCTTTACAGGCTAGGGGAAGTGGTGGCTGTGTAATTTCATGTACCAAACAGTGTGTGATGCTCTCCTGATGAAGCCTGTCTCAGTGGGAAATCTAATGGATAATCTAATGAAACCTTTTCCTTTGGGATGAACATGTGTATATTCCAATGTCAGCTTTTCACAAGGTCTCTGATAGCTGTAGCCTTTAGTTTAATGTGTTGATTGGGTTATTGCTACTTAAAGATACATGTAAATGATGACAATGATATCTATATATAAGAAAACTCTTTTCTCCCTCTTTTTTGACAAGCTGCTGTGTTTCTTAACCATTAATTACATTACTTTGTGCATAGCAGGTTCTGGAGCTGCTAGTTGTGGTTTGCTTTGCCTAAGTTTATTCAGTACCCAGAATAATTGGGACCAGATTCTGTTGAACACTTTAGATGATCCTTAAGGAAGGTCACAAGAGAATCCTCTCTTGTTTTGATGCCTAGGCTGACCTTGCCTTGTTGACAACATGGACTTAGCAGAAATTGTGTGCATGGGTGATTTTTATTTTGTTTGTTTTATATTGTAAGTTACAAACGAAATAACATTAACCTATTGAATTCAAGTCACAAAATACCTCTTGCCCTCACAGCTTTCCAGTCTGGGATATCTAAGGCTGTTTCCCAGGTTCTAATGACTGCTTCTTAGAAATCCTTTTTTTTTGAGAGAAGGAAATATTTTCAGTAGTGAGGAAATGCCTAGGCTGTATTTGAAAGTTTGAAGCTATAAAATTAATTTCATTGCCAACATGCAATGCCAGGATGACTGGACACCCTGTAGATCCAGAGTTGAAAGTCTGGCTCTGTCAGGAGCTGGAATGTGACACTGTAACAGGACAAATAGACTGTGGCAGGTGTTGAAAGAGAACAGTTCTCAGTGTGATCAAACCATGACCATTCCTTGTCTGTAGGTAACTACCAAAGGCACTTTATCCACACACTTTATCCCTGAAGTTTGTGTTTTAAAAAGCTATTCCGGAGCTCATTTGCAAACAAAAAGAGCAAGTTTGCTTTGGGTTAGCTGAATCAAATATATTCCATATTCAGCAAAACCCTCCTTTCCCCAGATGCTCCTGTTGTTTTTCACTGCAGAGTTGGCACAGTGCCTTGGCAGTGTTTGGGGCTGGGTGGTGAGCTGGAAACACTCTGTGCTGTTCCTGCCAGTGCTGGCCACCTCTTCCCTCCTGCTTTTGTCACACTGGGTGTTTCCTGGCACTGCTTCCTGGTTCAGCTTTGATTTCCAGCTAAATTTTATTCTTCTGTAAAGGATACTGATTAGATTGAATGGGATCTAGCCAGGAAACCTAATTTAATATGCCAAGTGCGTGAAGATAAGTGAGTGCAGCACTCACCTGGTAATGGTAGATAGAAGGTGTTAGATGTAGGATTGGGTGGGATATGTTTATGTGGCTGCCTCAGGTGGATTCTTTCTGATCTTGATTAGAGCCTGTGCAGTCAGGTTATGACTTCTAACTTAGGGCAAGGCACAGAAATTATTTCCATGAGATTCTCTGAAGGCTGTAAGAAATCAGCAAGAGGTTCTTCACCACCATGGCAATACATAGCCCTCAAATTCCTTGTTTGCCTGATGTCTCTTGAAACAGCAGATCCAAGAGGTGTTTTAAGCATCTCAGGTGTTGTTGCAGAATGAAGCAAAATGACAGTTGGGCTCATGAAGAGGTGACAGTGAAAAAAAAAGTTCTCTTCTTTCGAGAGTAGTTGTTTATAGTATACTCCCTCTGCCTGTGAGCATTCTGTGAGCAAATTACAACTAGGTAATTTAAGCAGCAGCAGCCAAAGATCAGTTGGCTATAGATGACTTCTTCCAACAGAACCCGTTGCCCATTTTTTTTTCCAAGGACATCTGTAGTGTGACCCTTAGAACTCAGTCACTTACTGCTTTCATTTTCAGGCTGACAAACAGAGATGGTACAGCACTTAAATGAGTTGCTCAGGGCTCTCTCATGTACTTGGCTGCTCTAAAGCCAAAGAAATGTATATTAGTAACCACTGAAATGTCAATATGACTTTCTGCTGTAGAAAATACAGTGTTGTGACAGCCATTTTCAGCTCATTTTTTGCCTTTTGCCAACTTTTCTTCTCCTCTTGGAGTGATGGGTGTGAGGGGAGAACTAAGCTGTAAAATAACTCAGGTAGGGATTTAGAGATTTGCTGCAACAAACCTGTAATAAAATAGCAAAAAGCAAGGACTTTTCACATTTGTTTGATATAAAGTCTTAGCTGATCAATGGAAATATATAAACTGTTCCAAATTGCATCAGGTGAAAGTGATAATTACAGTTTTATTGATTAGTCATTAAGTTTTAATCAGGGCATAACCACTGGGACTATTATGTCAGTATTTTTGGGTGAGGGGGAGGAGGGAAATAAGTACTTTTCCTTTGTATAGCTTGATAATTATTATGATATAAATTGCTTTTAAAGGTGAAACATTAAGCTAAAGACTCTTGTCATGTGAGGATTCCCAAGGCATCTCTTTGCATTTCCAAACTGGGTTTTTTTTCACAAAACAGAGCAAGAAAGTGATGTTGGATTTATAGGTTTGCTGTTCCTTCACTGATGAGAATAAATGAGTTAGATACCTCCTTGTGCATCGATGAAATGTGAATATGTGCTTAACTTAAATGTGTGTTTGTGCTGACTAATCTGTGTTTTGAATGTGACCTTGAAAATAACAAAATAGAAAAGTAATAGTACATAAAAAGGGGAAAAGGTACAAAGTTTGCATCAAGACATGATAAAATATATGTGAGAAATCAGTCAAATGGGAGCTCTTAGTTGTTAGAACAGCCACTTTTTTGTCTTCACAGTCTGTGGAAATTGATGGGGAACACAGTCCCCTGGAACTGGTGTGATCCATTTCTCCAGTTCCAGGCTGGGAGGCACAAACCCAAGCAGTAAGAAGTCAGGGGCTGTGGCAGTGTTTTGTTCTTTTCCTTTCAGGCAGGAGGAATACAGAAAGCTAATCTCATCTCCCAGAGTGAGATAAAGAAAAGTACGTACAAAGTCTGACCCTGTTAAACATAATTACTTTTTCCTATAACTGAATCTTGCTGTATAAGGACTCTGAATGTCCTGTAATACATGAAAAATTACTTACAAAGACACAGCCAAAACTCTAGAGGGCAGATACATGGCATATCATCTCATCTCATCAAGGAAGAAGAAGGCTGAAGAATACATGGAAAAACCCTTATTATGCCACTTGTGTAACTGAAATTTGGAGATAGGAAACACACTTGCTGCATCCAGGACTTTGGAATTTTTCAGCTTGACTCTGCATTGCCCTGTATGTTTAGTCTGCCCGTATCTTTACAGTGAGCTGCCAACTGTGCTTGGAAAACATGATATCATAGGGAGTGGAAAGGAAAACCAGATGTTCTAAAATTTTACTTTTAGTATTCTAAGGCAATGTAAGTAACTCTGGAAGGAGAAATATTTTTAACCTCCTCGTGCCCATTTTAAGTAGTAACCAGGTGCATCTTGTAGACCCCGAGTTAATTGTGCAGCCCCAGATTGATTTCTACATAACATTTTATGTCAGTTTAATGTGAGGGTGTATGTATTAATTACAGTGATAAATAGAAGTGCCCATCTGGGCCTCTCCCACCAGCCTCCTGCACACAGGGTTTTATGGGATGAGTTTAAGGTTGTCCCAGTTTGCCTGATGAGGTTTCCAAATGGGTTGGATTCAGCACAGTTAACTTTACATCCTGCTGGCTTTTCCGTGGAGGTGAGAATAAAGTCGTTTGGCTCATGTTCTGGAGAAGGGAACTGACAACAGCCTTTTCCATCTAACATTTAAATACTGTTATGGTTACCATCTGAGCTTTGCAAGATACTTAGTGAAAGTTTTGGGCTGTTGCTTGTAAATATTTGGTTCACACTTATCTTTCTGACCTTTTGGTCTTGACTGGCTGTTTTTGATGGCATTGTCTTTGTTTTTTCCCCCCCTACTCTGTAGGAGGCCAAGTTACCTTGACTTTCAGAGGGAAAGTGTGGGGGAGGACACAGGACCAGGATGGGAGGGAGATGTCCAGTTCTTTTGGCAGTAATGACTAGACTCTGGGAGTAGATTACCAGCTGAAGTAATTGAGCTGCTTTTGTCCTTTACACAATTTCCAGAGTACTTTAGGATTATAACACTGGAGATTGAAATATCCAAAAGTTTGTCACTTCAGTGGGGAGAGGGCAAGATGAGGACAGGTATTTTAAGGTGAAATTCCAAGTTCACTTGCATACTTCAGTGTGTTGCCACTTAAGATACTTCTGTGCTAACAGCAAAGTGTGTGGTTCAGCTGTGATTAGCATCTGACCCTCTGTATTAATAACTTTGGTATTTTTTTTATCTGCTGTTGGGATGTGTCAAATAGGAAAACTTAATGCAGGAATTATCTTTCTGGGGAATTCAGTTAGCTTTCTCTGCTAGTCTTAACTTGTTTCTTAGAGGAAGAAAGCTCAAATGCAAGCAAGTTCACAGTTTACAAATCATGATTGTGTAGAATGAAATTTTGAGTGTGCTTTTAATTCAAACAAAGGAGGAAAGTGTAGGTTTAACTTTATGTTTGTGGGTTTGGTGGTTGTTTTTTCTGGATAAAAAGAGGCCTTTTAAACATGATAGCCAACACTGTGTTGTCTGTGTCTCTGTCCAAAAATCAGCCCCCTCTTCCCTCT